TTGTCTGTAGCTTAGGCTCTGTTTCCACGCTTGCTTCTTGAGCTTCTTCGACTTCTCAGAGGTTTTCATCATTCTCCAGTGTTTGCTGAGGTGCGTGGATGGTACTCAGAAGAATGTGAAACTGTTTCTGCTTCAATTCCAGCTTATCTTCAACACTTCCTTTAATACGTGAACAATGCTTGAATTCTTTACCCAGAGCCTCTGTCTAGTTCCTTTAATGTTTCAGGCCTGTTTGGATTAAGCTGGATGACTTTGGCTAAAGCATCATACTCCTGACGATTTTTTTCACATTCATTTTGCTGGAAGAATTTGCTTTTTTCACTCTGCAATTTTTTTCATGGGCTCCAGCGATGCTACATTCTATTTTTTGGTAAATTTTTTCATATCACTTACCAGCAAGGTTTTGCCCATTGAAAATTCACATGGGGACAGAGTGCTCAGCCTGCGTTGGTCCTGGCTGTATCCCTCCTTCTGAGATCCAGAGTTGCACCATTTAATGAAGCTTTTCCAGAGCAGATTACCTCTTCAGCGCCATCTCTGTCAATGAGGAGACGCTTCTGTACCACTTTGTCTCCTCGGGCACCCAGTTCCACGGCAGAGCCGGAATCGGTTTGATTTACTCTTGAATCCATGTATTGAGTTGCTAGTTTCAAAGGGTGTATTTCTCAACTCCGGCCTTCTTGATGGGATTTTTTGAAAGTAGCTTCCAGCTGTCTGGTGGCATTCTCTCCTCTCTCGTGTTCCCTCCTTTCCTATCCTTCCCTTCCGTTTCTCTAGTTGGGAAAACAGTGTTCATAATCATTTTAAAGCCCATGCTTTAGTGTATGGATCATTGGCGGATCTGTTAGGATATTCGCTTTTTCCTCTTTGTCTTATCTTTTAACATCTGGACAATGTAGTGGAGTGGTAGACATTAGTATTAAAAAATATTGTAGGACATTTATAAATTAAACCCAAACAGAGACTCCACTGTTGGGGGCTAGAATTCAATCTTGTAAAGCCTGTTCTGTTTCTAAACTGACCTTCATCCTAACTACAGTCTTTCAGAGGGCAAATTGAAATCCCATACATTTACCAGGAATTCTTGTCCTGGGAAGATCCTGAATTCGAGAGCTATCCTCTCAGCTCTTTGAGCATACCAAGATCGCCATTTGACTCAGCAACCTTTGGGCTGTGGCTTTTGTGTAGTTCTTCCTAATCAATGTCCCTTATGGATTAGCATAAATATCCTGCGCTATCGGGTTCATTTCTCTGTGCTTCCCTGTGTTTGTGCAAATCTTGGTAGGTTTAGCAGGACCAATGTCCAACTTTTCCCTCCCTTGCCTCTTAAGGTTCCAAAAACCTTGCTATCATTCTTTGCTTTTAGAAGAACCTTCTTGTTCATTCTGCTTCTTGGCCGCTTCTCCCCTGCCAACATATGAGTCAGCACATGTGCTTCCAGTTGAAAGGCATCACCGACTGTCAGACTAGCCTACCCCGTTTACCTTCTCTCCGGAATCAGGACTTCCCCGGGGCTAGCCATGCCGGTCCTTCCGATGACTTCAGAGATGATTTGTCTGGTCTTCCTATGCTGGTCCTTCTCGGGGGAGGTCAGCTCTCGTGAGTGCTCGTCATTCCTGGAAGCGGAGCTTCTGTCATGGGCCTTCCGGCTCCTATGCTTCTGCATGGGCTCTTCCGTTGTCCCCTTTTCCTTCCAGACTCACACAAATTGTTCCCTGACTCCCCTGCAGCCCCTCCCCATCCAGGCAGCATTCAGCGAGAGTTTCCTCCTCTCATTGTCTCGGCCATGTTGACACTGCCCTGGGTGATCTGTCAATGCAGCATTCCAGACTAGGAGGCCACGTGGACTCTGTACTGGACCCATGCTGTGGATAAATACCACATCATTAGCGATCTCTTAACTCTGACATCTCTTCAAACCGTAAAAAGGTCTGGCCTCCCTGGGTGGACACTGCTGCTTGGCATCAACAGACTGAACAGCTGTTCCTTTCATGGGCATTTGCTCTCCAGTTGCAGTCCCCACTGCTTAGTGTTGATGCCCCATCTCCTGCACTCATTGAAATCACTGCCAATGACTCTGGGCACCAGAGGCTATAACCAGTGGGTTAGGGGAGTGCCTCCCTCCCAGGGAACAGAGAGTTGACCTTTGGTTCTCTGTGCCAGTATCTGTCATCACAGGCCAAGGGAGGGCCATCCAAATTCCGTAAAGTGTCTCTATGACAATCCTACCTTATCAGGGAGTTTGATGGGGCAATTAAATGGTTGTAATTGTTCTTGTTCCAAAAGCAAGACCCTCAAACCCACTGCCATCCAGTAGATTCTGACTCATAATGACCCTTATAGGACAGGCTAGAACTGCCCCTGTGGGTTTCCAAAACTGTCACTCTTCATAGGAGTAGAAAGCCTTGTCTTTCTCTCATAGAGAAGCTGGTGCTTTTGAACTTCTGACCTTGAGGTTAGCAATCCAACTTTTAACCACTGTGCAACCAGAGTGTCCAGTTGTTGCTAATAAACCTAAAAAAGCAACAACAACCTACTGGCATCGCATCTATGCTGGCCCATAGCAATGCTATAGGACAGTGGTTCTCAACCTTCCTAATGCCGTGACCCTTTCATACAGTTCCTCATTTTGTGGCGACCCCCCAACCATAAAATCATTTTTGTTGCTACTTCATAACTGTAATATTGCTACTGTTATGAATCAGGCAACCCCTGCGAAAGGGTCGTTCAACCCCCAACGGGGTCGCAACCCACAGGTTGAGAACCGCTAGGAAAAGGTAGAACCATGCCCGTGGGTTTTGAGAATATAATTGTTTACAGGAGTAGAAAGCCTCGTCTTTCTACTGCAGCATGGCTGTGGTTTCAGACTGGTCACCTTGCAGTTAGAAGTCCAACTCAAAACCACGACACCACCAAGGCTCCAGTTGTTGCTATTAGTTGCCATTAAATGAGTCTCAGTTCTCGGTGACCTGATGTGCCGCAGGATGAGATGTGACCTGGCCCTGTGCCATCACCATAGCCATCCGTAGGTTGAAGTCCATTGTTGCAACCACTGTGTCCATGCAGTTCCTAGAGGGGGCCCCTCATTTTTGATGCATGTGTTAGTCTGGGTACTTTAGAGAAACGAATCCACAGAAACTCATGCATAAGAGAGAGTTTTATATAAAGGTTAAGTGTACATCAAGAAAACATCCCAACCCAGTGCTGCCCAAGTCCACAAGTCCAACATTAGCCCATATGTCCGACACCAATCCACAAAGTCCTCCTCCATCTCACAAAACACACACTATGATGCCAACTGCAGGAGGAAAGCCAAGTCAGTGAATGTGTAAGCATCTCAGTGCTGGCAGGAGTCTCCACATGGCTGCATCGGAGTAGGTCCATGTGGCTTCTCCTTGGGGATGTCTTGCAGGAAATGAGCCTTGCCAGCTGAAGCAGGGAACTGGCTAAAGCAGCTGCACCCTAGTCCAACCATCAGAAAGCAAGAGACCCAAGAACTAGAAAGGCAAGGCTCACCGAGCCATTTATCCCTCCGCCCTTCAATTAACCCCACATGTGTTTATTGGCCAGGTTGGCACAATAAACTAACTACCTCAATGCATATACTAATTCTTACCATAAAACTCAGGTCAGGGGCCAAAAGCCTCTAGAGACCCTTGGGGGGGTACCCATATACACTATCACTGTAAAGAGCTACAGGAAAATAAGCCTTTCCATCTGGCACTGGGGAGAGTGACTAAAACACATGCAAGGTGGTGGCTGACCTGCCTTACACACTCTTGATCAGGGTGCGGGTAAGGACAAGGGGAGATTCAACAACAGTGCACAGAGGAAGTCCAGGCTGAACAGCAAATAGCCTTGAAAGGGCCTGCAGGAAAGCTCCTGAGGTCCCACTCAGGTTTCCAGGTCTGCTTTTTTATTTTATTTTAGGTCACAGGTTCTATAGTTGATAGCATAAAGGATTAGCCTATGTCTACTCTGCCCACATAGCCTATTGTACCAATTATTTCATGTAACAGCGCTCTGCATTTTCTGCATCTGTGTTGTTTTATAAGCTCAAGAAGAGAAGAGAGGAGCCAGCACCTGGGGGTGTTGTAGGCCACCAGATTGTAAGCTCGAGAGAGCAGCGAGCAAAATCCTTTTAGGCACCAGTATGTGCATGCAGTTTCCAGCTCGCGTCAAGTTGGCTCCGACTCGCCAGGGCCCCTTGTTCAACCAAGGGGGCATCGCCCTCTCCTGAGCTGTCTCTGCGACAGTCGGTCACTGTGGCAGCCTTGTACATGGGACTGCCTTCCACACTAGAAGGCTCAGCCTCCAGCACTGTGGCAGGCAAGATTCTGCTGCAATCCACAGGAGTTTTGCTAGCAAGGTTTCCGAAAGAGATCACTGGGCCTTTCTTCCTGTTGTGTCTCAGTTTGGAAGTTCCACTCAAGTCTGTCCACCACTGCTGCCCTGCTGGCATTTGAAATACAGCAGTGGCGCGTCCAGCATCATCTGTTTGCACCACCACAGCACAACCAGCTCGCAGATGGGTGGTGAACTATATGCATAGCCCATAGTTTCATGGACAGTTGTAGAAGGAGTAACTAAACCCTGAAGATATTCCGCGTCTAAACTCAAAAGAGCAGGGAGGGCTCATGGGAGTCTCCTCCTGGTGGAAGGTGTCTTTAAATCAAGCACCCACTGTTTCCAAGGACACATCACATCGTGCATCTGCCGCCATGCACCATTCCATCTCTCCTCAGGCTGCATGGCTGCATGGCTGAGGCATGCTCTGTGAGCCACTGCTGGGAGCCATGGGCCCTGGGAGGCCACCCATTGCTCTTGCCTGCTCCAGCCGCGGGAAGAGGACAGGGAGAAGGTCCATTCCAGCTCTGCTAGTGGGAAGGCCTGTGTCGAGCTGGACAGACCCACCTCAGAGCAGCATTTTCGTGGAAAATAAAAGTGTGTTACTTTTTTGATGAACGGATTTGGTAAAATGTTTTCTTACTTTTTCCTAGACATCGCCTGGTGGTATTACCAGTATCAGAGAGGTAAAAATTATAGTTTAAACTAACTTGACAACTTTGGGTCACATTTCTGTCCAAAGAAGAGCTTCTTCGCTAAGTTTGTGTTTTGTGATTCACCCTTCACTCCCCAGCTCTTTGGGCCCCTTATTAGCATGCACCAGCTATTGAGAGACGATTGCAAATATTCTTTTAGAGGTGTCATAGGAAGGGTTTTACTCCCCCCCTGCACCCCGCCACTCTAAAGCCCGGGATGTTTTCGCCTTGTGGGCAATAGGACATATGGCACAGATCAAAGTCAAGCCATGCCTCAAGGGTAGTAACTTCTCAGATCAAATGAACTGAATGTCGTTGTTCTCCGGTTTCGCCTCAGCCTTGACTTCCTAACCGTAATCTGTATTGTCAAAGGTAGGTTTTCTTATTATGCTACCTCTTCTTTAAAAACATATATTCATTTTCCTGTTATCAGTTTCAAATGCTTGGTGAGCCCAAAGAGAACGTGTGTATATTATCGGATGTGTGAGACTGCGTTTTCGAGAGAAACAAAACCAGTAACCCTCGTACGTATAAGAAGACCTTTCTACCATGAAAGCAGCCCCTCCCAGTCCAATTCAAGTCCATGGGTCAGATGCTAGCCCAAGACTCGCAGACCATTCGGCTGCCAGCGGATGGCACATGCAGGAAGGCCAAGTGGAAGCTGAGGGATCACAGGCTTGTGCGTCCAGAGTCACATGAATCCAAGGTCCACAGAAACATGGCAGGGCACTGATAGGTCCCAGGGTCAGCAGGCCACATGGGCCACTGGCCCAGATGTGAGACACAGGACACAGACATTCTCCACAGCATCTCTCTTAAAAAAGACCACCCTCCAAGAAGGTGTCATCAGTCTCTGACCTGATCGGTGGGTTGGACTCCACCCCTATGTTCACACAGGTATATCACATTGACATGAAATCTAACCATCACATATGGTGAAAGAGCATGCAAGGTAGACAGGTAGGCTGGCTGGTATGATGTAGGAGACAGGTGGGTGGGTAGGAGGGTAAGTAAGCATAGATCCAGAACCAAACCCTGATGCCTATAGGGTGAAGCAGGCAGCATCGGTTCATTCAGTGAAGCAAGTGTGGACAGCAGGGGGCACAGTGGACTGTGGCTGCCCAGAGGGAGATGCCACTGCTCAGCTCTGGTGGACTTGACACCCCGTGGGAATTTGAAACGCGTTGCCAGATAATCTCATGGTCCCAGAGAAACCCGAAATCTGAACTTTAGGCAAAGCTCTCCCGCTTAAACATTAGTAACTACAGAAGGGAAGTCAAAAGGCAGTCCAAGTAGGGTTTCCTAATATATATTATACACATGTCTGTTCCAAACAAAATGTGCTGAACGTTTCCCTGGGGTCAATGGATGGCTGCAGTCAAGTTCTCTCGGCAATACGCTTGTCTTAATGTCCTCAGGATGTCTTCAAAACTCAAAAAGGTCCAGTCCGAACAGTGGTTTCTGAGGGGCTCTGCTGGGCTAGTTCAAGTTGAGGCAGAGGCGTCAGCTCTGACGGTTAGGGCACTATGTCAGGGCTCTCCAAAGGGGAAAGCGTGATAAAATTCTCAGAGGACAGGGGACAACCTCGGGGTCTTCCCATGAAGCAGGGTGGTGAAAATGGGAAACTGAGTTGGTGAGGAAAAAACCAGAACAGTTGTGCCAAGATTTTGTTTTTCCGTCATAACAAGGCACCTGCCCCTTCTTCAAGGGTAGCAAACGCTGTCCTGTTAGGATATCCTTGGGAAAACGTACCTCTCCACCCTACACCCCATGCTCAAGGAACAGTTTTTATAAAAGCACAATCTGAGTCCCCCATGTTGTCACGGTGTAAACCAAAGCACAAACTTCTCCAGGGAAAGGTTCGAGAGATGGAAACACTGTCTGTAGAAGTGGGGAGACCTAGAGAATAGGTTCCCAAACTTATTTGGCCACCACTCTCTTTTCAGGAAAAGAAAACCTGCTCAGCCTTTCCCTGGTAATTAAAATAGGTTGTACTCTGTAGCCCATAATCCAGGGTAAAGTGTAGGTATCTGTTTTTGCAGCACCGCTGGATCGTGCCAGCTAATGGGACAGTAGCACCCACTTTAGCAGCAGTTCCCAGCCTGTGGGTCACAACCCCTTTGGGGGTTGCCTGATTCATAACAGTACAAAATGACAGTTATGAAGTAGCAACAAAAATAATTTTATGGTTGTGGGGGGTCACCACCACATGAGGAACTGTATGAAAGAGTCACGGCATTAGGAAGGATGAGAACCACTGCGCTTTTGGAAACTGAATTACAGATGGAGGAGAAGTCAAGAACAGCTTCACATTGTGATATTTTTGCTTAATAAAGGTTTCAAAGATTTTATAGCAATATTTTTACTTACTCTAATAATTCCAAAAGAAAAATAAAACACACTGAACAATACAAGAAGACCCTCTTTCCTCGGGCTTCATGTAGGGAAAGGGCTGCTGTTTTGTACACTCGGAAATAGACAGAGGGGTACACAGTCCAACCCAGAGCACCCACGATGGAAAAACTACTTTGTAGACACAGAGCAGAAGAAGATGGAGACCATGGAGCTAATAAAACAGACCTTGTCACCAGGAGAAGCCCAGAGACTTGGCCTCCCCAACCTCGTAGACTCCAAGATGCAGAGTTGGTAGGCACAGGACTTTTGCAAGGCTGGTCACAAACCAATCTACTACCTGTGCTTGAGTAAAGCAAGAGCCATTAGGATGGGCTTATGGAAGGCAGCCCCGAGGAAAGGAGCCCTTCACTGACAGGAATCTAGGTCCAGCTCTATCACTGGCTGGCTATGTGGCTGGTACTTCAGGCAAAGCCAGGGAGTGGCTGAGTTTGGAAGCGGTGCTGAAAGGGCAGGAAGCCTCGGACAGAGCAGGCAACACATCATAATCGGGTGTATTTGTTTCCCTGAGCTGGCCTAAAGTTTTTGTCACACACTCAGAAGAACCTGTGACTATAAAACATTCTCAAGAATAATTAGAAAACACCTCCCCCCCCACCCCCCACTCCCCCCACACACAGCTCATTGCCAACGAGTCAATTCTGACTCATAGCGACCCTAGAACCACTCAGTCTGAATCACCTGCTGCAGCCTCTCATTCAGTCTGCAGATTTCCCGCTTCTCCGCCTCAACAATTGATTCTCCCTTCTTGGCTGGACTACCCCCAGTGGTATAGGCTGTATGCCTTTCTGAGGTGCTTACAGTTAGAAACTCACTGTATTGCTTGAGATGGGACTGGGAATGGCCTCTGCTCCTCACTGCCCATCACACGCAGTGTTGTCAGGAAACAATGGGCTAAGAACATGATTCTACAGATTGCAAGTATTTGACACACAGAAGATGGGATGAATGAACGTGCTCCGATCCTGCCATGATCACATAGTGTTACACCTCTAAGATCACGTTGATCACTATCACCCAACCTCAATCTGACCTTGTAGTGAGCAACATTGACCTTGGCAATGCTTAGCAACCCTAAGAAGAAACTGCTAACTCCACTTGTTAATTTTGCTTCCCTCTCCTCCGACCAGAGGCATGAATCACCCTTCTTCCTTTTCTGGGACCCTCTCCACAGAACCCCGAGAGCCCCTGGGGGATAACAGTCAAACCAAACTCACTGCCATCGAGTTGATGCTGCCTCATAGCAACCGAATGGGAAAGGGTAGAACTGTCCCTGTGGATTTCCGAGACGGCAACTGTTTACAGGAGTAGAAAGTCTTGTCTCTCAGCAGGGACACACAAATCCCTGTCAGCCTGTCCAGCATTCTTCCAGGAGAGATGTGTCATGACCAGAACCAGGAGCCAGAGAAGGAAGGGGAAGGGAGCACCGGAGGGGAAGAAGCCGGCCCATGCCCTAAGATTTCCACCGTTGTCCACGGTTGCGAGCATTTCACAGAGCAAGTCATGACACAGCGGATCACTGCCACCTGGTTGATCAAGAGGAAGAGCTCAAAGTGGAGGATGAAACCTATCTCGGGTTAGTGAGGGAAAGTATTATTTCAAGAAACTTTCACTCCAAAACATTTTATATCACATTCTGCTTGAGAGCCACTAGGTTAAGCACCCAACATCCACTTGGAGGCCACTTCCTGGCATGCTGACCTCCAGAGACGTGGATTCCCTTCCGTGACTGCTGTCACCACAGAGGAGCAAGAGAAAATCCAAACAAAAGCTGGCATGGTGGTCAATACTCAAGCACTCAGCAATGACTGAATCTGTTAGATATGGACATTGATCCTGATGCCCAGACTGCAAACAAATCATTTATTAATAAAGCCCAGTCCCACCTTAATGAAGTGGGTTTAATATTTGATATTTCAATGATTACTTAGTGCATTTTTAATGAAGGTGATAGCAAGCAAGTGCTGGTTTGGAATCAGAAAGATGCTCTCAAAGGTCTGCAAAGAGACTCATTTTGCTGAGCGTGTGAGGAAGTCAGCCCGGACAGCGTTAATAGAAACAAAACACTCCTGCACCATATCTTCTATGCTTCTGGACAAGGCCTAGGAACATATACTAGACACGTTCATTTCTCCTGAAAATATATTGTTGGCTGGTAACCACAAGGTCAGCTGTTCAAACCTACAAGCTACTCTGCAGGGAAAAAGTGAAGATTTACAGCTTCAGAAACCCACACAGGCAGTTCTACTCTGTCCCACACAGGCGTATGAGACAGTATGGACCCGATGGCAGTGCATTTGGTGGGGTCGCTTGTTCCTGTTTGGGGATCACCTCTTCTTACACAACTAAATGAGATGTTGATCTTGTTTTTGTTTTGTGTTAGAAGAAGTACTATTTGATCGAATATGAAGAGATTTCAAACCAACAACTGATTTCTATTTTTAAACTGGGTCAAAGTATAAGTAACCATGTATATAAATTTTCTGAATTAGACTTTTGTGGATTTTTGGGGGGGAGACCGGGCCTTTTCATTTACATTGAAACACTACAGTTCAGATCATTTAGATAATTGCTCCATCTTAATAACAAACAATGCAATAATTAAAGGCTCTGTAAGAAATATCAAAACATTGGCCACTTGCAGCACTGTTGTATAAATAGGATATCTTCTTTATCTTCCAGGATAAGATGATATACATGTGACCCAGCACATAAGAAAGATGGTGATGCAGAATTATTTTCAAGTTATTCACAATCGCCCTTAGAGCCCTACCTGATCACCTTCTCAAGAATTAACCTTTTTTTAATGTCCTTACTATAAAGCTTTAGACGATTAAGAACCAGTAGATGTATACTATTCTCTGAAGAACAATAGGTATAGAAGATACCAAAATTAGTTTGGTGATTTCCATTTTTGTTAGGATTAAAGCATCCAAAGAAAAGATGGCAATGGGAGAGGAAATCTAACACAAAGAGACCAACAGGCACCAATGAGCGAAATGCAGTGTATATCCAGTACACCCTGACTCTGCTCTCAGCCCGCCCTCACTCTCAGGACCGGAAGTGATGTCGGTGGTTCCTAGGAACCTGCCCATCTCTTCACTCTTCTGATCAAGCTCTTTCACAATCTATATTTCGACATGTCTGCGTGACAGCAACATGGGGATGGATACAATTGATTCTTGATTGGGGTTGATTTATCAAAAGGATTCTGGCAAGACCCCAGAGGAAAACACCCACTGACCCTTCTGTGCAGGGGAGATGTGGAAAGTTTCACTCACATGGATTTTGGGATCCTTCAGTAGGACAGGGGCAGATTTCTCACTTTCTTGATGGACGCTTAGTATCTGATAATTGCAAAACTATACTACATTGCCATATATATATGGAAAAAATAGTTAAACTACTACTGAAAGCAGTTCTTTTTCTGAAAACCCTTCAAATGCTTCAGAAGCTTTCCTTTACATAAAGTCGAGGGATCTTAAGCCATTTCCTGTTACTGCAGGATTTCTAGTAGACATTACAAAAGGGGACACTCAAATACATGCGGATGGGTTTAAAGTAGCCCTAGCCTTCCCCAGGTTGGCTCAGATGGTGATAATTTATGGTTTGGGTTTTTTGTTGCTGTTGCGATTTGGGTTTGTTTGGTTGGGATTTCACTAGATTTATTTCCCTTTGTTGTTCAGGGGGTATCCATATCTCTTCTCACTTACCTGTGTCCCTGGAATATTCTGACAGTTTCAGGGGCAGCATGCTCAAAGCAGTTGTTTTGAAAGGAGGGTGGTGTTTTCCTGTGGATTCCTTTTTAGCTCTGGTCCCTCCCTCTCTGGTGACACACCAAGAGTCATGGGGTGGGCTAATGATAGTGAGACAGCATGTGACTGACAAGGAGGTGGGGCTCCAGGGGGAAAGGCCATCTTCAGCGTGAACCTGCCCACAGCCCTGTGCCCCAGGTCCCGACACCATCTTATTAACAGCCGGACTGTGGTCTGAGCCCCGGGAGCCATCTGCTCCAATGCCTTCTCCTCTGGTTCCAGATAAGATCGAGGATGAGCTGGAGATGACCGTGGTTTGCCACCGGCCCGAGGGACTGGAGCAACTGGAGGCCCAGACCAACTTCACCAAGAGAGAGCTGCAAGTCCTTTACCGAGGCTTCAAAAACGTAAGACTCGGTGCCCTCAGGAGGCCCGGGTTTCCCAAATGCCACAATCATGCTGCTGTTGAGTCTCCTCTGGCTCATGGTGACCACACACGTGCCAGAGAGGAACTGGGCTCCGCAGGGTCACAGTGGCTGGTACTTCAGAAGTAGATCGCCAGACCTTTCTGCTGAGGCACATTCAACCTCCAGTCTTTCTCGTTAGCAGCTGAGGGCTACCAGTTTGCTCCTTTCAAACACTCTCCCAAATTCCAAGGAGGCCGTCAGGGAACTTTCTCATACATGCAGTTTTATGAGAGAGACCAAATCCATGGAGGGGACGCAAGGAAGGCCACCTGGTTGAAAAGGAAGGCTTGGGCCAGGATGAGGCCACCTCCATGGATGTAAATGTAGAAACTTCACAGAGTGGAGCAACTTTGGAGAATTCGCCTGGGCCCAGCTCTAGCCCTAACATACACACTCACATGCTCCACCTCCATGGTGCACACAGGCTTCTGACTAAAACTAGCCAAGTTCACAGGACCGATATGTGAGCTGAGTGTCGATGCATTAACTTGCTGTGGGAAAGAGAACAGACACGCTCCATTTGCCAGCACCTTCTCTCTGTGTGAGCTAGATAGGAAGCCAGCTTTGGTTCAAAGATATAATCAGAGGGTGGGGAGTTACTTGGACCATTGTTTCTGAATCTACCTTAACACACTTCTGTCTTCTCAAGCCAACTTTGAAGCCCTCAAATTTACTCTTGAGTGTGGATATGGATTTGGCTGTTTGAGTTTTACGTTTAATTTAACTCTTAGAAGGTAATCCTGCTTCTCAATCTGGGGCTGGGGCAGAGTGGAGAAAGGAGCTAACATCTCCCTCTCTCACTTCTTAGTCTTACAGAGCTTAATGAAGGCCACAGTGCCTATGTCTTGGTGCTCTCCAAGGTGCTGGCCAGGAAGGATTCCAACATCTGTGGGAAGTTATGTGACAAGCACAGGGATGCCTCTACCCTCCCACAATAGCTTTGGCTTTGCTTGTCTTAAGCTTGCTTCCCTGCCTCTAGAACGTCTTTTGTTCCAGCCTGACAAAGGCAGTGTTATCAGCCGGCCTCTGGGTTGAAACAGGGTTCTGTGGGAAGGTGGCCCAGGATGGATATTGGGCAGAGAGGGACCAGCATCCAGAGAACTAAGGAAACTAACAATGATTGGCAACTACCACCGACCCACCTCCACATCTGTCCAGATAGCACATCTCACGATAACCTGGAAGGGAAGGCGATTTAGCTCCATTTAACAGGCTAAGGACATTAAGGATCAGAGACTTACTTGACAAATGTCACACTGCTTGGAATTGGCTTATCCAAAATTCAAAGCCAGGTTTTTTCTAATTCTAAAGTCCACCTCATCAGGCCCACTTTCTGATGATGTCTCATCATTTCATGAAGCAGCTTTGATCCTAAGGTGATGCCAGCTCCCAACCATTTACCTGGAGATATGGGGAATTCACAGGTCAAGGGTCTGCCTGCCAGGGATCATGAAGAATCCTAGAACGTAAGGATTGGCATAGTCCACTCTGGATAAGGCAGGTCTCAGGTCTCGTCCCTTCTCTCTCTCATCACACAGGAGTGCCCCAGTGGTGTGGTCAATGAAGAGACATTCAAACAGATCTACGCTCAGTTTTTCCCTCATGGAGGTGAGTTTGGCCTCTCCCTGGTGGGCAGGCTCCCCTTCCCCAACAGGAAGACCACTCTTGCGATCTGCCTTCTCCTTGTGGCAAGAGGGTGTGTGGAGCAGGAGATCTTTCTCAGTTACCTTTAAGCTTTCTTTCAAGCTCTAAAAGAAAGGGACTCTCAACGAGGGGTCGAGAATGATTCATAAAGAAATGTGATATAGTCTCAAGAGATATTGGCACAGCAGGTATGAATATCTTAGCTGGAGCAAATGAGCTTTGGAAAGGTTAAGCAAGTTACTCCAGCACACACAGCTAGTAAGGGGCTGGGCCAGGATGAGATCCCATAAATGTGGGATGTGACACCGAGCTTTGACATGTTAGCCCCACCATTGTACACACGTGTCCCATTCTCTTCCTTAAAGTGCTCAGACAAACTGGATTTTTCCTAAAGAACTTTCTCGAGTAAGTACCCAGACTCAGAACCTACCGCTGTTGAGTGGATTCCAACCCCAGCAACCCCAGAGGACAGAGTAGAATTTCCTGAAAGGGTCTCCAAGGCTGCGAATCTCTTCAGAAGCAGACTGACTGATCTTTCGCCTATGGAAAGACTGGTGAGTGTGACTCGCCAAATCATTGATTCACAGCAACAAGTACTTAACTACTGAGCCACCAAAAAGATGCAAGAAGGGGGAAAAAAGTTCTTACAAAGCCAGACTAGTGAGGGTGCCTCCAAAAAGGAACCTTGGTCACACCCTGGGTTACAAGTTGGGCTGATAACCACAAGGCCAGCAGTTCAAAACCTCCAGGCGCTCCACAGGAGAAAGATGAGGCTTTCTACTCCCATAAAGATTCACAGTCGGAGAAACCCACAGATTCTGTTCTAATCTATCCCACAGGGCTGCTGAATCAGAATCAACTCAATGGCAGTGAGTTTTTAGCCTGAAGGTGCCGGGCCTGCAGCACCTGCTCTGTGCCCTGCCTGGCTTGTGTGGGAATCCTCTCTGGTCTCCTAGACTGAGACTCCTCAGGGGCTGCTCTTTTGGCCCCTATGGTTCACATTCTACCTCCCATCCTGCCCCTGGAGCTCTCTCCTGTACACCTAGATGCTCTCTGTGAGTCCTTACAAAACAGAGTTCTAATCACCTCAAAGACTTCTTGGGCCCTATTTCTCCTAGGCCTGCCACAGCAGCAGGTGACCTCCCCAGGCGTGTGACCAAGTGCATGATCTCCTCCAGTGATGGGGGTGTCAGTGGGCAGTTTTGTCCTCTGTAAGCCCACAGAGTTCTCTCGAGTGGCCACTTACTGAGTTTTGATTGTGTGTCAAGCACCATTGTAGTCTCTTTTTCAAAAACTCTAAGAGCTAGGCCATGCCACATCCCATCTTACAGAGAAGGGAGAGTGAAGTTCAGAGTGGTTGAGTTAGATGCCTACAGTCTCACAACTGTGTAGTTTCAGAGCTGGGATTTGGCCATGTGACAGCTCATTCCATGGTGGGACGTCTTACCTACCAAATCGCCAAGCCATCCATCTCCCAAGAAGCACAGACATGAAGAAGTAGGAAAGACTTTCTCCTGCACGGTTGGATAGAAGGGGAACAAAGACTTGCCTTGGTTCTTACTAGTTCCCAGGAGAGTCAGACGCACCCTGTTCAGTTCACAGCAGGGGTTCTCCCACACCCTGATTTTCTCCTATCTCCTATCACCCTCCTCTTTTTCTCATTGGGATCCTACCTTTGCCGTTAAATGATCTCTCCCCTTTGAGTCCCTCCACCTGTCACCTATCCTGCCCTCTCTCTCCCTGCAGATGCCAGTACCTATGCCCATTACCTCTTCAATGCCTTTGACACCACCCAGACTGGCTCCGTGAAGTTTGAGGTAGGCTTATCTCATGGGCCCAGGCTGAGAAGCCCCCAGTTTTGTGTTGCCTCTCCTTTTAATCCAGGGGCCTCTATGAGGAGATGTGGATCCCCAAATGCACTCAGTAAAGACAAGGAAACTGTGATCATTTAATCAACATTTCCTGATGTTATAGAGGAGTTGCCTCCCTACTTCCAGGAAAATAGAGACCATGGGACTAATCATAACAGTTCAATAGCTCACCTGCCCACTGAGCTTGCCATGAGGCCGGCTCTGTCCTTAGTGCTTTGCATATATTAATTCAGTGAATTCTCACAATAACCCTACCATGTAGGTTTGTATTATTGTGATCATTCTACAAAAGGGGAAAGGAAGGCAAAGAGAATGGTCAAACCGGATAGTTAATAGCAAAGAGAATGCCCAAACCGATAGTTAATGGCAAAGAGAATGCCCAAACCGATAGCTAATGGCAAAGAAGGGATTTGAACTCAGGCTGTATGTTTCTAGAGTCTGTGTTCTTAGATAGGGGACTCTACTACCACTGTCATGATACAGCAAAAAAAGTAACGGCAGCAATGGCAATGGGATAAGGCAGAGGGGGCTGCGTGGACCTGTGTCTGCAGGCACCACACACACATGCACGCACATGCACACTCACACATACATATCCCTCCACTGTTCCCCACAAGCAAGGGAGGGAATGAAAGGGGTATCTCTTCACTGCGTTCAACTGGATCCTCCAGGGGGCCAACCAAGTCCTTCCAGTAAAAGGAGTCACAAAGTCAGTGTCAAGGACAGATCTTCTCTATGTGAAGACCTTGTGGCTCACGTTCCTGGTAGCCATTTTTGTTGTTGTTGTTCACTTCTCAGGATTTTGTGACAGCTCTATCGATCCTACTGAGGGGAACCATCCACGAGAAGCTCAGATGGACATTCAATTTGTATGACATCAATAAAGACGGATACATAAATAAAGAGGTAAGTGCACGGAGGAGGCTGGGAGCCTGAGAGGGCCAGGCAGAGAGAGCAACCCAGGGGAGAGGACAGCGCTCTCCGAAGGAGGACGACGGATCTGCTGTGGGGCTGGCAGAGCTGGTTCCTGGCAAAACTAAAGAGGCCACCTTTGCCCACCCACCGTGCTCTCCCTTGCCCTGGCCCAGGATCTTAAGAAAAGAATAAGCAAATTAATGCTCAAACCAAAAAAACAAATTCACTGCCACTGAGTCTATTCAAACTCATAGAGACCCTACCGGTCAGAGTAGAAGGGCCCCTGTGGGTTTCTGAGGCCGTAACTCTCTACTGGAGTACGAAGCCTGGTCTTCCTTCCACAGCGTGGCTGGTGGTTTCAAATGCTGACCATGCAGCAAGCAGCCCAGCTCTTTGTAAATGGCTGGTTTTAGCATGAGGGGTTGCTCTGTCCAGGGAAGACTACGGTGTAACAAGTCAGCGGCCACACGTTCAGCTCCATGTCGAAGCTGCAGGGGTCTCCCGGGAGAGAAAGGGGGACTCTGACGCAGAGGGAGCCCGTGTATGGGTGTGTGGCAGAGTGGGATGGAGCTCCCTCTGGTTCACCATGGCTCATTTTCCACGGGGCTCTGTGTCCGAGGTGCCTCTGCATGGACTCAAACCTCTGACCTTTGGGCTATCAGCCAGCTCTGTGATTTCATCAGCCCCTCCACAGGCTCCTTTGTGAGGAGCAGGCCACTGAAGAGGGCCTCCGAGTCACCTACAAAACCCCGCAGAAGTGGCACTAGCTGCCCTGGAGTCAGTGCCCACGCAGAGTGAGCCCAGCGGGTCTGCGAGACTGTGGCTGTGGACGGGAGTAGAAAGCCCAGGCGCTGCTGGTGGTTTCGAACTGCCGACCATGCAGATTGCAGCCCAATGTGTAAACGCTACCCCACCAGGGCACATCATGAAAGGCATAGTCGTCCTTAAAGAAGCCCTCACACGCCACGTCTGAGACTCATCACAGTCCCTGTGCTGTCGAACCAACAAAACACCTGCAGCTCGATCTCCAAACTCCCAGTGGCTACTGTCTCCGTGAACCTGGGATTTCACGTTCTTGGCACTCCCACAGGAGCCCCGGTGGTGCGGCGGTGAAGTGCTCAGCTGCAAACTGATAGGTCACTATCAAACCCACCAGCTGCTCCTCAGACCAAAGGTGCATCCGTGGTTTTCCAGAAAGATGACAGCTCTATGGTGTCCTCAGAACTCCCCAAATCCCATTGCCCTCCAGTCGAGGCCGACTCAGAGCCACCCCATAGCCAGGTCGGACTGCTGCTGCGAGCCTCCGAGACTCTAACTCTCGACGGGAGTAGAAAGCCCTGTCTGTCTACAGCAGATAAACTGGCAGTTTTGAACTGCAGACCTTGCGGTTAGCAGCCCAACAATGTAACTGCTATAGCGCCAGAGCCCCTGTATCCTGCAGGGTCCCTAAGAGTCAGAAGCAGTGACAGTGGGATTGGGCTTTGGAATGACCTCATTTCTGAACTCGTACACACGCCAGGCCCAGTCAGTACTGGAGGGTAAGAGCAAAGTGTTCGTATGTCACCTCAGTCCTGGTGACATTAGAGCTTCACAGAGAGATCAATGAAGCTCCGAGCTTATCTATGCCCAGTCCTCCTTCATCCAACACGTGATTGTGTCTGATGGAATGCTCTGGGTGCTGGAGGGAAAATGGCCAATGTTTCTTTGAAGCCCTGTGTTCATGGCATAGAGGAGAGAGATGGGCACTAAACTGGCAAAATGTATTTCAGCAGGGGAGGGCAGTTGGGCATGGAGGTGAGCAAAGGCCTTCGTGAGAAGGTGTTACCACACCGGAGCACTCGCCCCTGTTGGCTGAAGTCCACCATTGGCCACCCAGCAGTCACTGGGCACCTCACTCCTCACCCCGGGGAAGGCACTGTGCCCGTGCAGGGACCAGAGCAAAGCTGGATCTAGCAGATGTCCCCACAGAGCTCACAGTTTCGGGAACACAGGTGTACAGACCAAACTCATTGTTTGAATCAGTTGGTTTTGAGTAAGAGGCACTGAAAGATTAGAAGGGAGGGGAAAGAGGGCAGGATTTGAAACATCTTTATATCCCACTCAGTCAAGAAATAATAATGACTACTTAATCATTATTGAAAGGGCTGTTTGAATTGCAGAGAAAATAAGAACTAGCTGAAGCTGAGAGATGGCTTGTAAAGATCTAGAGAGGCTCACGGAACGGGTTTGATCCCCATTGAAACTAGAAAGTTGCTGCTCTCTTCTCCCTCTCTCTCTGCCTCTCCTTCCCCGCTCTTCTGCTTCCTCCAGCACTGTCTGGGATCAAGGTGGCCACCGCGCTCTCGGCAGGGGTGGCAGGTTCAAGATTGCGCCAGCACAGTGGTGGTGTGGGGAGCTCCAGGGGAGGTTCTAGGTTAAAAGATAGCCCTTCTCAAACACTGCCTCTCCCTAGCTCCTCTCGGTCTCTGTTACAAGCTCTTTCATGGCCTTCTCTGGTCGCCCTTCTCTCTCCTTTCTCTCCTGTCTTCTCAGCATCCCTCACAACCCCTCTCTCTGTTCACCTGCTCCACACAATGCTTCACACACCAGAGTGCCCTGAGGAAGTGTTTGTTTTGTGCCCTCCTGGACCCTCACCCAAACTCAGACAAGAAGCCCTGTAGGTGGACTAGTTACACCAAGGACAGCTAACTGCAAGGCCAGCAGTTCAAAGCCACCAGCCACTCCACAAGAGAAAGACAAGGATTTCTACTCCCATAGAGTTACAGCCTCAGAAACCCACAGGCGCAGTTCCGTTCTGCCCCATAGAGTCGCGATGAGTCAGAGTCCACTCAATGACAGTGAGTGGATAAAACTGAACCTGATTTGCCCACACCTGTTCTGACCCCACCTCTGCTTGACTGTAGCGTCAGACCCCTGCTGACCACAGGGCCTGTGCTTCTTCACTCAGACTCCCCAAAAGAGAAACACTGAGAAGAAGCTCGTCTCCCTTTCAGCTTTGATTCGATGCCCACCTTTGTTCCAGTGAGGTGTGTTCCTAGGGGCGGATCGCCTGATACAAACACGCCCCCGAGGCCAGCCACTCAGCAGAATGGTAGAGAGGAGAGAGCATCTTCCAAAGGGAGGGCTGTGAGTTGTTCAGGACGCAAATCTGTCTGCCTTCTCCACCTAGGGTGTCCACGTAACCATGCAGACCCCTCAGAGTGCAATTCTTACTTCTCATAAGATGAGATTAAAACGTGGGTGAGAAGCAAAGCGAAGGAGATGGGTTGGGGAGGTGAGGCTAAAGAATGGTTCCAAGAACGTCAAGTTGATCTAGGACAGTTGGTGAGACATCCAAGGACAGAAGGAGACCATGTAATTCACAGAGATCAAAAAGCAAGAAAGGGGACTGCCACCCAATTATCTCCCTCATTGCCCTGACCTTGAAATTCTACCTTCATGCATTACCCTTTATTTTGCTTTTAATTGAAATTTAGCATTACACAGGTGCTCCTGATAATATACACTTACTCTTTGGGATGAGAGAATGTCATTCTCATCCGCCATAAACGTTGAGGATAACTGCTTCTATTATAAAACAGAGCTCTGCACACCTCAGTGCTAGGAGGTTCTGATTCAGGATGTTTGTGGCGGGCCTGAGCACTGACCTTCCTAACAGGTGCCAGACCATGGAACCCTGGGGGTCCTGAGGACCGCCCCGGCTGCCCACAATTTTTCTTAGCTGGACACAGCAACAGAACCCATTGAGACTTTCTATCTCTAGGTCAGAATGTTAGGTAGTGAGAAGTAGATGGCTGTGAAGTTGATTCGGCTTACTTTACATGCAACAGAAGGAAACGCTGCCTGGTCCTGTGTCCCCTCATGGTCACCGGCATGTTTGAATCCATTGCTGTGACTATGTGCCACTCCATCTCACGGACGGTGGTGGTGGTATGTGTGTGTGTGTGGTGGGGGGGGTCTCTCGCCTTTGTTGGGCCTCTTCTTTACCAACCAGCGTGTCGTCCTCTAACACAGATCCCTCCCAAGGACATCATCCTTTAAGAATTAACCCTTCCAGGGTAAGCAAGCTGGTCAGTGTTCTGTTGAGATCCAGAAGGTTTTCATTGGCTGGCGGTCAGCAGTAGATCCCAGGTCTTTCATCTTAGTCTGTCTTAGTCGGGAAGCTCTGTTGAAACCGATCCGCCATGAGTCATCCTGTTTGGTATTTGAAACACTGGTGGCACAGCTTCCAGCCTCACGGCAGTATTCAAACCCCTATAGGATAACAAACAGACAAGTGGTGGAAGCATGCCAGAGCGCTGCTTTAGAATAACCCTTTCCTTGACTCAAGTTCATGGGACAGGGAGCCCACACATAAGTCCCCTGGGGAGTGACCCTGGAGAAGGTACTATACGCTAGAGCTCCTGAAGGCCAAAAGGACGTCCCACTGCATTCTGGTTAAGAGTAGAAGGCCGGTACGAACAGGAAAGCGCCCCTTTCAACTTGCTTTCTAACTCTCTCTCTTCAACCCGCTCCTTGGCAAAGGGGACAAGGTGCGCCAACTGTCACATAAGAAGTCTGAGCTCATGGTCCCCACCCTGTGTGCTTCCATGTCCCCTCTCCAGGAAATGATGGACATTGTCAAGGCCATCTATGACATGATGGGCAAATACACCTATCCTGTGCTCAAAGAAGACACGCCCAGGCAGCACGTGGACATCTTCTTCCAGGTACACCTGCCCACCCCTGCCCGAGAGCATTAAGCCCACAAGCATCTGAACAGGTGGCTTGTGTCCAACCCTCTGCTGACACAGCAGGAAGCAGGAAAGAATAAGAAGTTATATTGTCCTCAAGCAGCAGACGATCTAGTTAAACAGACAAGTAGACACTATGGAAGAGAACGGGGAAGTAAAGAATCCAGCGTAAGTGGGATAGCATGGTCTCTGAGTTCCAAAGACACTTGTGAGGCATCAGAGTAAACAGAGAAGACTTCCTTACGCTGTGCATGGCAGTGTTAGGCATTTGTCCCTGGGAAGTAAAGGGAACTGAGACTGGAAGCTAGGGTAGGGCCGGCATCAGAGCTGTAGCAAGGGGAGGGTCATGGGGAGACACTTTCCCTCAGATACAAATGCAAAAGGAGGCCACATAAGACGCAGAACGTCCTTGGGAGGCACCGAAAGATGAAAGGGGCCTGACTGAGGCAATCAGACAAGCGCGGGGCAGGCATTCCTACTGACCCGGCAGGGCTATCTACGTCTGTGCAGCTTGAAATCAGGGGAGTTCCCCTTCGAGATTTCCCTCATTACCCTCCCTGGGCACCGGCTTGTGAGATGTTGAAGGTTGAAGAAGTTAGGCTTGCTCTCACCATTGAAAGGAACCCTGGTGGTGCAGTAGTTAAAGTGCTCTGCTGCTAACTAGAAGCAGGGCACCAGCCTCTCCATGGAAGATAGGTGTGGCTACTCACCTCCGTAAAGGTTACACCCACTCTCACAGAATCTGCTCTGATTCAGTGACCCTTCATAGGGTTTCTGATTCTGTCAATCTACATGGGAGCAGGCAGCCCCATCTTTTCCCCACGGAATGTAGCTGGTGGGTTTGAACCCCCAACCTCATGGTTAGCAGTACCTAACCCACAGCACCACCATGGCTCAAGGTGACAGCCCTGTAACCCGGCACGACAGTTCCGTGCTGCCCTCTGGCGTCTTCATGAGTCGGAATTGACTCGACAGCAGTGGGTTTGGCATTTGATCTGGCATTGAGTAAAGGAATGGAATAATCGGTCGTGTTTTAGTAAACAAACAAACAAACAACAATCCAAGAGTGCCAAAGCGCATTCTATTCCAATCCTTCCACCTCACAGATGGGAAAGCAGAGGCCCAGAGAGGCTTCAAGACTTGCTCAAGGTTATGTGCTAGTGATAAAACTAGAACCTCTCGCCTCCAACATTCTTTCTGCCAGATGGACAGAATAGAAAAGACAGGGGAAGAATCTGGGGACGAGCATCTGGACCAAACTTCTAAACGTTAAGAAAACTCGGGAGGTCAGAGAGAAGTACTCCGGGCCTAACGGGAGGAGTCTGATCCATGTAACCAAAGAGCAAACCTACTGCCATCAAGTCAGGGCCCTAAGCGTGAGCCTGTAGGATCTCTGCAATTGTAAGTCTTTATGGGCAGACCGTCTCCTCTTTCTCTTGTGGTTAGCAGGCCAGTGCCCAGCCTACAGTGGCCCAGAACTCCTCTGATCAATGAAAGACCACCCAAATTCTCAAGGCCAAGTTCATTCATAAAAAGCAAGTTTGGGGATGCAGGTTGGCAAGTTCCTTAAAATGCTTCCTGTTGTGTCTTTCAGAAAATGGACAAGAATAAAGATGGCATCGTGACTTTAGATGAATTTCTTGAATCCTGTCAGGAGGTAAGGAAATATCTCAGGACACGATACATCTAAATCTGGAGAGGGAAATTGGGGGACAGGGGACCTGCAGAAGGAAGGAATGAGACGTCTGCTCATATTACAAAGCAGCTACCCTCAGATCACACAATACCACTACCAGCAACAACGAGACCGAGTCTGGTAATCTCTCCTCCTCAACCTGGCCTGCAGCTGCTCGTGGATGATCCCAGGACTGGGTCAGGCAGTCTGCGAGTGAGAAACAATAGATTACCGAAGGACGCAACACACTCACTTTTTTTCTGGTTTGATGGCTCACTCCCTAGACTACAATGGGAGTTGCTTGGAAAGAAATCTAAAATTTCAAGTCATAGTACTCAATACCTACTCACTGCCACAGAGTCAATAAAGACTCATAGTGACCCTGTAGGTAGAACTGCCCCCCTGTGAGTTTCTGAGACTGTAGCTCTTTACAGGAGTAGAAAGCCCCATCTTTCTCCCATAGAGTGGCTGGTGGCTTTGAACTGCTGACCTTGCAGTTAGCAGGCCAATACATAGCCAGGATGCTACAAATGACTCTGATTCCACAGAAATGGGGAGCTGTCTACAAATCTTAATTTAATCAAGTGCCATGGACCAATGCTTCTAAAACTTCTGTGTGCCAACCCACCTCCCCCGTGATTATGCTAAAATGTAGATTCTGATTCACTAGGTCTGGGCGGAGCCTGAGAACCTGCCATCCTAACAGGCTCCCCGGGGATTCTGAAGCTGCTGGTCCTTGACTTCCTTTTCACGACACTAAAGAATAGATTGACCCAGAGTCTATTCCAGATGAACTGGACTAGATGAATGATTTCTATCAACTTTGGAATAATGTATTTATAACCCTGTTATATCCCCAAAAGTTACAGAGAGACTCTGAGATCGCAAAGGGAACTGCAAATTGGAGGAAGCAACGGAGGCGTTATTAGCACATTAGTGAACACCAACCAAGTTTCAGGACACAACCTTGTGAGGTAGATGTGCTGTAGATACAACTAGACTGGCCTGTGGGTTGAGAGTCACTTTTGACCTTGACCAGTGCCCGGAAGCAGTGTCTGGGAGGATCTCTGCTAACTTTTGCATTAATCCTATTCATTGATGGGTCTTCAGGTAGTCCAGGGGGTCCAGGCCAGTGATCTGGTAGAAAGAGGAGCAAAACATACTGAAGGCAGAAGGGGATGCTTGGAGGAGCAGCTATTCAGCAACAGGGTTGAAAATATTTCAGCATTTGGATGATTACAAGCAGGCTAAACTGCCGCACTAGCTGAAGCATCGTAGGTTGAGATATTTGGCTCGGGTAAATGGTGGAGCTGGACCATGAACCCCATCACTCTGCTTATCCATACAATGCTTTGCTGAAGTAGGCTTTGTTTTGTTTTTTTCTCATCAGAGAGATTGATAGTAAGAAACTACAAGTTCCACCTGAGAAGTGAGAGGCTTCCATATGGATTTAAAACCTTGGAAATTCTATGGTGGAGCTCACCTCCCTCCTAAGGACTCACTACGAGTTAGAACTGACTTAATGGCAGTGAATTTGGTTTGATTGTTTGTTTTGTCATTTATCAGTTTAGAGAAATTTTCAATTGTTTCTCACATAACAATTTCTTCTATTGCTATTAATTAATGAACTTTTTCACACATAGGCAAGTACTATGATCATACTTACTTTAAAGCATGAATAAGCTGAGGCACAGAGAGGTTAAGCAATTTGTCCAAGGCCACAGAGCAAGTGACAGAGCCAGAACTGGAACACAGGAGGCCTGACTCTAGAACTCATATACTTCAGCACCAGACAAGAATACCTCCCTGTTGTAGCAGCTTCTAAGAGATCCCAAGTGTTCAGAATCAACTTCTAATTGGTCGGTTTTCTCTGCTGTGGGCCTGTTTGCATTCATTTGTGCTCTACCTTATTTCCATCCTTCAAGTTTTGTTTTGCTTTGGGTTTTATTCCATTTGCTGAGTTGAGGAATTGTTTTTAGCTCCTGAGATGGAAGCTTGGGTTGTTGATTTTTAACCCCTCTCTTCTCATGTATGCACTCAGAGCACGCATTTCCTTCTAACGACTGCTTTCAAACTTGCTGCCATAGAGTTGATTCTAACTCCCGGTGCCCCATGAGGGCGGAGCAGAACTGCCCCTGTGGATTTCCCGGGCAGTCTTTCCGTAAGGGAGCAGAAAGCTTCATCTTTCTCACGAGAAGCAGCTGCTGCTTCAAACGACTGACTTTGTGGTTAGCAGCCCAAGTCCCGATCCACTCTGCCACCTGGGCTCCTTGTGCACTGCATTAGCTCCCTTAAGACACCATATTTCATGCTTTAATTTAAAATATCTTATCGCTCAAAATAGCTTCTTTTCTTACCTATGGATTATTTAGAAGCATGTTGTTGTTTAACACCCAACTACCTGAGGATTTCCTATATTCAATACATATACCTTAGAGAATAAGAGATAGAAAAATAGAGAACATGCATTAGAGATATACAATTTTTTTTAAATCAACAAAACAGGCATATATATATTGAATACAGGAAATCCTCAAGTAGTTGGGTATTAAACAACATGCTTGACAAGACTGGCCAAGAAAAAAGAGAGAGAGAAAACTCAAACTGTCAATATCAGAAAAGAAGGAGGTTTTTGGTATGGAAATGTTTTAGGCATTAAAAAGATAAGAGTTGCCTAGGCAACTGGACACCCCCTTACAGAAGTGTCATGGGGAGGAGATGAGCCAGCCAGGGTGCAGGGTATCAACGATGAAACATACAACTTTTCTCTAGTTCTTAAATGCTCCC